GAAAAAAATATGGGGTTGGATAACATTAGTTTCGCCATTATTATTGTATAAGTTTTCTATTGGAAATATTGCCAATTTCATTTATTGCCTTCTGAATGTTCACGTGAAAATCTCATTTAAATATAAGTGAAATGAAGGCGATGATAGAACATGTGCGTATGATAGAACGAGTTGATTCATATTTTTTCGGTCATATTTTGATAATATTCTTACTTTATTGACGTATCTATATGTGATCATCCCCATGGCAAAAGGGCATTGAATGTAAAAATAAAGTTACAAAGTAGTTAGGAAAAGGGTAGCCACATTTTTTCGGTATTTTTGCGCTATGTTTTCTGTTCTGTACAATGGCCGTATGTTTATGTGTTCACCACAAACACGAAAATAATTTGCTTCGCAAACGAAAGAAAATGTTTGCTCTGCTTCTTTTTTCGTTTTCTCTTTCTCTTCTTGTTTTTGTGTCGATTTCTCATTAGTTAAAATGATGATTTGCACTGTGAAAACTGTCTAGGTAATTGGCTGTGCAGTCGTCCATAAAGTGGCTAACACTCATTCATTTACACTATATAAATATAGGCCAATATATTTGCATATGTTTATTATGAATTGACGGTCGGTATGGTTTGGTTTGGTTTGAATAACATTCATCAAATGTATGCCCCTTACCAAATTTTCAGCCATATGTAAGCTTTCTCATGTTTGTATGTTCAGTGTCCTAATGAGTGACGATGTGGGGTTGATATCGTCGCTGCATAAAACTGTTTTATCCCGACAATCTTTCGGTCAATAACTCGCTCAAGTAAACTGTTTATGTATTCGTTGGGCTAGTAAACAGCTAGCGAAAGACAAAAGTGTGCCAAATAATTGATTAAAAGCGGCGTCTCACATTTCGTATGATTATTTTAGATAAATTCAGTAAATCTCTTAGAGTCTTTCGACGTCGTCCCATTTGTGGCAAAAGTGTTAAACATTTTATAGCATCGATTCGTCGCCAATTAATTTTTTAGCGACACGATATCAACGAGACGGAGCCAAACATACATATTTAAAATGCAATGGAAAAAGTTTTTGACAAACTGAATGAACGAACGAATGAATAGGATAGAGAAAATGAAGAAATGGTAGTGGGTGAGAATATGAGAATCTAAGGCGTCATGATGGCTATGCATGAGCTATTACAATCACTTCATCGGCTTAATTGCATTTATTTTCTCTCTCTTTTTTCAATTTCTTCCATTCATATGCACATTCACACACGTATAACATAGTGTTGGCCGTCGTTTCGATGATCCATTTGTCTACATATTCAAATGAACGGATACATTATTTTATGAAGTGACTTGACCGAATGCGATTATACGAGAAGATAGACTAACCGAATAAAAGGTCAAGCTTCTGTAATCGGCGGGTCAAGACACAAGAATAATGCAATTGTTGGGCTTTTTTTCTTCTTCTTTTTTATTCCATTTTCTTTTTTCGCACTCTTTTCCACTCTCTTTGCTTGCATTCAAAACGAAAAATGGATTGGAATTTCAATTCATCGTCCCTTTTGCGCTTAACATACGCAACATCATTTGAATAAAAGTGATTCGGTGTTCTTCGTGGAAAATAAATGCGTTCGCTGGAATCCGAAAAGAAGCTTTACAGCCAAGTGAAAAAATAAAATAAAATTCAATTTCACACGCGCACATAAAATGAAACAGCCATTTTGGTGGTCTCTTCGGACAATTTTCTTTGAATGAGTGTGACATTTGGATTAAAAAAAAGAAGAATTCATTTTACATCTTGAAAGCCATTCCATATAATATATATGGCATATATACCGTTGACAAATCATTTAATTTTCGTCGTACATTTTATGTCGGTGATGATCCGTTTACACAATTTAAGCCAACAAACAGCTATTCAAGAAAATTGTCTGAAATGAGTGAGAACTTTCGATTTTTTCTTTTCTTTTCACTCATTCTTTGTGTTATTTTTTATATTTTGTCGGCTTCGTTTCGTCTGCCCAAGTCAATTCTTATACCAAAAAAAAGCGCCAAAAAGGATGTAACAAGAGCCACAAAAGAAAAAAAGAAAAATCGACGAACATATCATATTTGTCATCGGCATTCTATATGTAGAACAATACGTACACAAATTCTTAAAGCAATCATACGGTTGCTTTATTATCTTGGGAGAACAAATAGAATTTAATTTCGCAAAAGCTAAATTTTAAATTGTTTCGTTTTCTTTTTGTTGCTTTCAAGAAATCAAGAATTCATTAGAAAATATGACATATTTCGTATTATAGGGTTTCAAGACACGAGAATCGATTATATTCTTTTTTTTAAATTACTGTAAGGGTGGCTTGGGTTTCTCTATGAATAAAAAGTCATTGAGAAGGTTCTTCCATAAGAAAGAGCTTAAAAGAATGATATTAAATTAAGTTCAGTTGTTTTTTCGCTTCAAAATACGAATGACATGATGGATGGTGGATACTGCAACAACTGACGATATACCTGAATGTGATATTAAATATGTTTGCCGTCACCGTTTTGGCTCACATTCACTTATTTAGATTTCTTGTTAAATTTAAGCTGTCGTTACTTTTTGGATACATTACATTTCATGATACGATTGGCAGTGTCAATGTCCTGGTGACCGATTAAAAATTATATTTAATATTATTTTTTGGTGTCTTAGCCCACAGTGATATTCCTCCATTTATGAGAAGCTCTTATATAAATGAGGCGATTCGTCCATATGCTCACCGATGACATTGAAATGAGAAAAAAATGGATGAAATCCAACCTGGGCCAGCTGTAATAATGCTTGACACTCGTTGTATGCTTATTTAAAAATAAATATGATGCGTACTAGGTGCGATAGAAGACAGCAAGAAATGCAGCGTGATACAAGGCCTTGTCCATCGATTTTAAACGACACATTTACAATGTTATGCTTTCATATCGTCAATTTATTTCAATCATACTACACGTATACATGGCATACAAAAATATGTTCGACGACGGTGATAAATATTGTGTGTGCGCTGAGAGATCGTTGTCAGCGCGTCATCAATGTTAAATGTTATATGCAATTTGAAGCCCATTTGAAGGCATATTTTCATTCAACTTTGCGAAAAGATTGTAGAAATTATAAGGAAAAGACACAAACGCACACACACGCACACACACGCATTCAAAAAACAATAAAAAAGAATCGTAAATTGTATGCTGAAAGAATCTGTCGCAAATCTCGTTGTCAGTGTTCTACAGCTGTGATGAAGTTTCACAAACGCATTTGAAAATTACTTTGGAAGAACGCGCCGAGCGACTGTAAGACTTTAAGAAAACAAGAACCAAGTGATAATTACAAGATAAACAAGAAACAGTAAGTATTCCAGCATATTGTAATATGGCCTTTTATATGTGTAACAAACGACTAGACGATATACATCACATAAATCTACAGACAGCGCGTTACATAGTGCTGTGCTTTGTGTGCAATCAGCACGGATCATTCATACTGTTCAAAAGCTGGAAAAAAAAGAATGATAAAAAGATAGAAGAGATGATAGATAGAAAGGGAGAGAGGAAAAATTGGAGGAGAAAGTGCGGAGTATATTCGTTAGCTCTTACTAACGTTTGTCGTGCACACTATCTATTGGGACGATAGAAAGCAAGTCACATTTTCCATCAGTACCACTTACAGAGCAGCGAGTGCATGTTAAATCAAACATACAAGCTGAACCGTTTCGCTATGAATGCGTTTAACTGTCGTTTAACGCAAAGCACAGCACTGGCAGAGTTGACGCAGCCGCTTTCCGGTACGGCTTTGTAAATCTTTAGGTTTTTCTTCTTCTGTTTTTTTTTTCGGTTTATTCGCCGTGTGTAACAATGAAAGCTCAGTCGTACTTCCAAGCTCAGCACAATCATGATTGCAATCAATATACAAAAGTCATCATTCATATATACACTCTCACACACCGAATTCGAATTCATTCAGTGATTTAGTGCTTTTGCATTCATTCTTTGTTATTTTTTGGCTTCGATATGCATATCTATCCACGTTCATATAACATGTGTGTTCGGTTCGGCTGCTGGTTTTCAAAGTTTTCATATTGCGTTCCGCATGTTCGAATTGTATACACTGACTGAATGGTGTTGCTGATTCTGGTGGTGGTGGTGGTGATGTTTCTCTTGTACTCCAAGTCAGACCGTACACACTACGGTATAACAGGTTGACGGACTTAAAATCCGAGATTACACACGCTCTCCTCAGTCTTCACTCATTCAACATATAACTCGGTCACAACAATCGCTGTGTATTCAGTTAAGCATCAGGCCACAAGGCCGTCAGACGTGTTTTCAACAATTTCTCTCTGTCCCTATATGTTTGTGTGTGCGTACTTTTCAGATGTATTTCGAAACGACTTAAACAAATTCAAAACCGAAAAACGTATAACGAACATTTCAATTCAATACATCTGATTTATGTACGAATTTATTTTTGTGGATTATATGACAACGATCCACGTTGATCATTATTCGTCACAAAAATTTCAGTCAGTGTAAATGTATGCACATCACAAAACGGTAACAAAACAAAACGAAGCGGAACCACAAACATTTTATTATTATTTCAACGAGTTAAAAAGTGAATTGATTTTCAAAGGCGCACATTTACATCCCCTTTCATAACATCAAAACTAATTACATTAAACGCATCACATTTTAATTACAATTTACTAATTCGACTCGTTTCGATCACGTTTGCATCGGAGGGTCGAAAGATCACTGCAGTGTAATTAAATATCACTATACTTGGACTCTTACCGAAAAGTTGTGTGTATTTTTTGCCCCACATTTTTCACCGGGATTTCAACATAATTTATTTAAACTAATTATTTAGCACTGCGTTCCCTGGAGAAAGAGAGAGAGAGAGAAAAAAAAAACAGAACAATTAAAACTCTATTACCAATTTACTTTTTTGGATCTAGAACTTTTTACGTGTGTGTATGTGTGTCTGTGGTTTTTTTGCTTCTTATAAAATTGAAGAAAAACGTTGAACCAATTATATGAACTTGAAAGCAAGACACAAAAAAGGACTAATCGACGAAAAAATGAGGTGAATTGTAACAAAAAAATAGTAGTAAAAAAATACGTTGAATGTGTAAAAATTATAGAAAGACAGTAATTTTGTTCATTGTATTCGGTTTGGATGAAAATATGTGCAAGATGGAATTGGACACGGTGAAAAGTTTATGAAATTTTCTTTGAAAAAAAGATATCAAAAGAAATGTTAAAAATGACATTTTATGAGAAAAAAAATTAAATTAAATTGAAAAACAAAAGGTGAAACGAACTTGTGTTATGTTTGAAGAGAATTGTAATTTTTAATATCCAAAACACGAGTCAAACGGAAACAAAGCAACTTTATTTGTAAAATTGTCTATGCATTTTGAATGTTTTTTTTTGCTTTCGTTTCTGGATGTGCTGTGTTCGGGTCTACTTTGTGTGTTCGTCAGAAAAAACGGAGATTTCAACACGGACGCTGTTTTTGACGTTAGTATCATTCAACATTTTTATACCATTTATTTAGATTAAATGCTGAACACCGCCGGTTTTTTCTCTACTTACTTAAATAAAATATCATAACTGTGTTCCAATTTTCGGAAGTTGTCAAATTACTATTTTTTTTCCTATGAGTGTAAACTTTTCAAAACATGCAGTTTTTTTGGCATAAAAATACTCAAGCCAACAGTTTAATGAAAAAAAAAAACTTTTAAAGTTCATATTCTTGTGTGCATTCTTTTTTCAATTAATATACAACATTAATGGAAAATAGTTCCCGAGGCATTGCACGTAAAACAGCATTCCACATTTTTTATTTAAAAAATTCAATCCAAGTGGGGATTTCCAAGTGAAAAATCTATTTCCCTTACTAAAAATAAAAGAACTCCCATTAATGGGGCAAAAAATGTTGAAATGTGATTTTGAAGTGAAATAGATAATTAGATGTTGCCGAGTCTCACTTTTCAAGACAATAAATCGATTTGTCGCTAATAATTCTAAAAATTCTGTGCTGGACTTTATGCCAAAAATTTACTTGAAATGAAACAAAGGAAAAGAAAAAAAAATTGTATAGTAGTCGAATAATTTCATTGAAATTCATATTTCATTACATTGTGGTTTTTCTTTGTTGCAAAAATTTCTTAACAATTCAGGCAGAAAATAATTCTTGTAAACTAAGCGTGCACATTTAAAGTTTTTTTTCCACCAGATCGTGAAAGTTTTCTTCTTTTTCTTTTGTACTTCCCTTTCCATTTGGGCACCAGACTAATACAATGTGTTTCATATTAGGGGGCAGCACGATCAAACATCTAATAACTTATTAAAAAAAATTTGAAACATTTCAAAACATTGTTCCAAACTTCCTCTGTGGTTGTACTTTTTCTTTTTCTTTCTCTCACTCTCTCTCACACACGCTCTCCCTTTTTCATTTCTATCATCGCCATCCTATATTCATCTCATCGTGGTCGGCGTTGACATTGTTGTGGTTTATGTGGGTTAGAGATGATTTTTTCCCTATATTATCATTTGTTGAATTGACTGCAGCTCTTCTCTTTCTCCATTTATTTTACGGATGGAATATGATTTGAAATTTTCTTTTCCGTCTCACTGCGCGTATGTGAATACATCGCATTTAATGTACAACAACAAGATGAAAATGAGAAGAAAATAAAAAGAATTCAACCCAGATTGTGTGTCTGTGTGCGCCTTATTAACTCTGATTACAATAAAACAAAAATTAACCACCGTTACCAATTTCAAACTTTTCGTGATACAGTTACATGGTTTGCGCTTATATGTGTGCTCAAATATATGTGAGGACGAAAGGGAGAGAGAAATCTGTTGATGATGATAAGTCACATTGTGTGACGTTGACTCTTTTTTCTCTCCATCGTTTTAATTTCTTATATAATATAGATAACGATTTATAACTTTTTCACCATATGCTGATGTCGTCATTGCCAGAAGTTTGCTTTATTATCAAATTCTACACCGGAAAAGTTCAACCGCGTAAGTTAGAAAAAAAAAATCTGGAACATATGTAATGAACAAGCAAAAAGGAACTAACCGAAAGTTGAAAACGTTATTATGGAAATTTTAACATTAGACAAAATGCGGAAAATTTAATATTATTTTCTTGATGATGTAAGAAATCATGTCATTTTACAAATATTTTCATTCGTTGGCTGCAACATGTTGGCTTGCTGACGCATCTTATACATGAATTTTTTGTATTCATATGTGTGTTTCTTTGCATGCAAGTGTGTATAGTGCACGCTGAAATTCATAAACAATTTAAAATTGGTTGTCAGGTATAAAATATATTCATCGCTTGCACCTATGGCAATCCAAAAACATAAAACGAACGAACGCCAAACTATATTTGTAATCTAATGCATTTTTCGGTGATGTTTCGAAGTAAAAGAGACGGTTCATATTATCTGCAAAAATTCATACAGAGCTTTGAGATTTTATTATCAGATCTATTTACTCGTTGTTCTCTGTTTATCTTTTTCTATAAAATTTGTAAATATCTTCTTCAGAACGTAACTCGACAAGAATTATGTGTACAAAATCAAGCAAATCATCGTTCACTTTGTGTAATTTAATAAAATAATTTTACATAAAACTATACCGTTTGCTTGTGCTGAAACGGGTTTTTTGCATAATTTCTTTAGACAATTTCTCAAAATTGATTGAAATCAATTGATAAAATTCAATATTCAGAATGTCAATTTCTTAAGCATCATGCTTCGTTCCGAAAATAATATAACGTGTGCATATTCCAGTTAAATGGAATGATGTAATTTTTTTTTCAAGAGCTACAGAAATTAATTTGCTCATCGATCCATTTAAAGCAACGATAGAGACGATGATGTCGAAAAAAGGCGTCCCACAAATTACGGCGAAAAAAAAATCTTAATGAAAATTACTTTCCATTCAGGGCTTGAAGGATTTCCGATTTGTGTCATGATTGTCTTTTAAATTCTGTGCTTTTCTTTGCTCATTTTATGTTAAACAGTAGTGACAGAAAGGGGGTGTGAGAGAAAGATCAATTCATATATACGAAGAAAATATTGGCAACAGAAGTTCCAAAAGATAGCGAAACCTTTTGAATTAAATGGATGAAGAAAAACGATACTGAAACAAGAAAAATGTGAAATTAAATCCCAAACGAATTTGTTTTTTAGCGATAATTTGCAAAATATATTTTATGTTTGTATAGCATGGGAAAAAAGCGATAAGAAAAGTAAACTGAACCAAAAGTTTTACTTTTTGCTCGAAATATTCTCGTGATATACATAAGATATATAATGAACGACCGTTCCAATGCAATGCGTGCGTATGAGAGTTCATGCGAGTGCTATCATGTTTCTTTTTTTCTTCTGAATATAACGTGCGTATGCAGTTCAAATCTATTCACTTTTGGCTATTTTCGTATAAAACGGCGATTTGTGTATATGTCGACCGGTTAGGTAGATTAGGTTGATACTTTATTGTGTTTTGTTAAATATTAAAAAAAAAACATTGCTTATCGTCGAAAGGGAAAAACAACAACATACTCAAAACAAAACTTTCGTTAGAAAATATGAATGAAATATTATGAAAATTGAAAATTTGTTCAAGCCTTGTTTTGTGTACCGTACAGTTGATAAGCATTGATTGAAATAAAACCCGTCATCATCATCGTCGACAGCAACGAAAACAAAACCAAAAGCCATATCAATTCTCGTTTCTTCCGATTCGGAAAACAAACCGAACAACAACTCAAGTAAAACAAAAACTGAATGAAAAGTCTTGACGGGTTTCTTTATTCCCTCTTTTTGCCATCGTTTAAAGTGAAATAAAATATTTATATAAATGGAAATGAAGTACGTATCTTACCAAAAACGAAATACACAGCAGCTTAATGACGGAACGTGGCATATGCCAATTGGAGTATTTTTTTATGTTGCCTTTTCATGGTTGTTGTTTTTTTTTCTTCTCGTTTAACTTTTCATTGAAATTGAAGTTCCATTTCTCATAAATTAATTGAGTATATCAACGAGTATTAGTAGAATTTTTTCAAATAAAAACCAAATCCTTGACACTCGAATGTAGAAGAAAGTTTTAACATTACGATTTACATCCGGAGAGAGTGCGGCAGATCGATTGAATCAATATTCGTTTTAGTATCGAATTTAAAGTGTCAAATTCAACACTTGATATTTCTCACTTTCTCCACGAATTTATATATTTATTTGTCGTCGACGGGAAGTAGTCGGGCATTTAAAGCAACATGACGCTGTACGACTTGAAATATAACACATTTCATTCGTCTTGATTGACGCCATTTCAGCATCATACCAACAACAATGTAATATGTATATTGGCAAATTGTTTATGGTAATTGAGAAAATGTGTCCAAACTGAAAATGGAAAAGATTGCCGTTTAATGAGCACAATTGAAAGTAATTAAAATTAATTAGATACTTTTCACATACACACACACACATAGACATTGTATAAAATACTAAATGTATCAACATGTTTGAAAAGCAATCGACAGCATTTCCCAATCAGAATGGAGGCCATGGCACTCGAAAATGCCAATGGTAAATAAATACTGATTTGAGAATATTTGCAATGACAAAAAATAAACGACAATAACTTCTACCAATGGAAACAATTTCGATATAAAATGATTTAACAAAAGCAAACGTGACACTGACGACATTGGATAAGTATCGTATTTTGTTGTTTTTACGTGCAAATGTTTTAATCGTTGTATAATTAATTATGTATAATTAATTATTATTAATGTTCGTATAATTCAAATGTTTGTCACATCCATCAATTCGAATAATTTGATTTGGTTTTGAGTTCAAAAATTAAACGTAAAATTCAGAAGCAAAGAAAAGCGTTGCTTTTTTTAAGTGTTATTTCATTGATCTATTCAAAGTCGTCTTAAAAAATAAATTAATTGGTGTAATAATATGATTGCAAAAGTAACGATCAGTATCCATTCATTTGACCGTGTAGCGAGCGAACGTGACGTTAATGTGTATGTGTCAATATTCGTTTATCCAGTAATATGAGTTTTGATGTTCGTATTATTTTTGGTGCGTGTATTTTTTCGTCTTCTTCTTCATTGATGATGTTTATCAAAATCCATTAGATAAATGCGTTTGAAGTACTCTGATTTCAGTGCTTTGGTCGCGTAAATAATGGATTTTATCGGTTGGTTATCAATAATTGGCTATAAATCAAATACATGATAATGATAAAATATTGTTTGCAAAGCTGTAAAAATATGCTCGCGCAAACATCTAAACATTGGATTATAGTCTGTCATCAAAACAGCCAATATATACGATGTAAATATATCGCTTTTTTTCTTTAACCCGACAACGAGAATGGCCAAACATGACATTAGGAAGCTTGCATTTGTATAGCCATTTTTTATGAGTTTACGTTGTTTACGCTTTTCATGCACAGTTCTGAGTTCAGCA